TTATTTGCCATTTGCTTAATATTTTTTCTTAAACTGTTTTTCCATTAACACAAAAAAGTATATTGTTGTTATTTTATCAACTTTTTTATTTCTACTTTTTGCCTGCTTCTTTCCATTTTTAGATTTTTTTTCTAGTTTATTTTCTTTTTTTGTAAACTTTTTTAAGTAAAAATGTAGTTTTTATTTTTTAACTATTTTGGTTCTTTTTTTATAAGTATTTTTACCATGTTTTTACCATTATCTTTAAACTATTTACTTTTTTTATTTTTTTTTTATTACTTTGCTTATTTTTCGTATTCTGCTTCTTATTAAAGCCGTTTCAGAAACATCAATTTGTTTAGATTTTTTTGTTTCTACTTTTCTTAAACTGTTTTTTTATTAACACAAATAAAGCATATTGTTGTTATTTTATCTGCTTCAACTTTTTTATTTCTATTTTTTGCCTGCTTCTTTTTTGTAAACTTTTTTAAGTAAAAATTTTTGTTTTATTTTTTAATTATTTTAGTTCTTTTTTTATAAGTATTTTTACTATGTTTTTACCATTTTATTTATCTTTAAACTATTTACTTTTTTTATTTTCTTTATTACTTTGCTTATTTTTCGTATTCTGCTTCTTATTAAAGCCGTTTCGGAAACATCAATTTGTTTAAATTTTTCTATTTTTCTCGTTTTTTATTCTTCTTTGGTATTTTACTTTATTTTTTTTGTAATTCTTTTTAGGTAAAAACAACTAAAATTTATGCTTTATAGTTTTTATTTTTAATTTTTATTTTTTTTTAGTTCCACATTCTTATAATTTTATTTATCTTTAAGCTATTTACTTTTTTGAATTTTTTGAGTTAGACTTTTTTTACTTTCACATCTTATCTTCGTACATTTTTTTTATTTTATTTTATCTACTCTTTCTAATACATTTTTTTATTTTATCTGCTTCAACTTTTTTATTTCTACTTTTTGCCTGCTTCTTTCCATTTTTTAGATTTTTTTTTCTATTTTATTTTCGTTTTTTGTAAACTTTTTTAAGTAAAAATGTAGTATTTGTTTTTTAATGGTACTTGTAGGGTTCGTACCACGCGAACACAACCTCATGGGTCAAAGGTTCACTGTACAGGCAACCGAGGCATTATCCGAGTTTGAGAAACTCCAAAGTGCTGATAAGACGGCTTTGAATGAGTTGTTGCGCATTGGGGCGGTGCAAGATGCCAAGTGGTACCCAAACACTTTATCAGATCGCGAGGTACCTAAAACAGTACCAAAATTTTGACTTTTTCCATAAAATGGTTCCAGTTGACTAGTACCCAATTTAAATTGCCCTTGACTGACGTCCGGCCTGAATGTGCGGGGATTTTGCGTAATTTACCCCAAGTGGAACCACCCCTAACCCCCCCACGTCACTCCCCAAGTCCCTATTTCATGGATAACATTGATCCGGAGAAATATTTCAAAAAAGGTCTGTCATTTGTCAAAATGTACGAAAAATTGTACAATTCATTCATCCAGAACCAACGTTATGGTACTTGATGGTACCACCAGAATGGTTAATTTGGTTCTGTTTTAGGTTTTGCTGGTCATGTACCATTTGGGTATGGTGCGTTTGGGAAAGTCAACGAAGCTATGACCAATAGTGCCCTTTGCGATTTTACCTCCAATTATAGGAAACGGTTGAGTACCGAATGGGCACCGGTGACCATCAGTCGAGCTGATCCACCATTGTTGATCCAACCATCGGAAATTTACCATAAACATATTGGGCAATTGCCCAACTATGGGGGGCATATCCCGGGGGCGATTTTCAGGTGAGAGTACCATTTTTGGTACTGGTGGGGTACCATGTGGGTTTCAGGTTTGGAAAAACCTACGGGAACGATTCCAGAGATGCTAAAAGGTGGCTACGAGGAGACTACAGTTGAAATTGACGTTTTGGCACATTTTTTTGGAAAATTTTCGAAAATAATAATTTTTTTGGGGCATAATCGTTTTATTTTAATCCAAATCTAAATTTGAAAACACTAACAATAGAACAATTAAAAAAAAGGAAGATAAAAATACGAAAAATATAAAAAAACATATTAAAAGAATAAAAAAAGCAAAATAACAGGTCAAAAATAAAGAGATAATTAATGAAAATTAAAAAAAAACATTGT